GCTTTCGTGCAAACAGGGTTTCATGGCCTGCGAGGTGACTTGAAGAAGCACACACAGAAGAACACTTTTTACTATCATAGTTACATATTTAATGTTAACTAGGAACTGCGTTTGGCTGCAGATAGCTGAAAACCCAAATCACGGTGGCTCACCCAAATAAGGAATCGCTTTCTCTGTGATAAGAGACAGCTCCACCATGCCATCGAAACTCAGGCCCTCCCTTTTCTAAGCTTTTTATTCTAATGGTCACCTTATGGGCACAAGGCAGCTGTTCTACCTCCAGTATTGCATCTAAATTCCAGGCAGGAAGAAGGGAGAGAATAAAGGGGGAAAGATCTACTTTAGTTCCTTCTGCTCCCTACCCCCCATCTTCCACTTTCTGAAGAGCCTGCACAGAAGTCCCACCCAAAGACATCCGCTTGCATCTCATTTGGCCAGACCGAAGTCATGGGCCACCCCTACTTACAAAGAAAGCTAGAAAAGGTGGAGTTTAAACGGAGTGCAGTGCTGTCCTAAACAAAATTAGGGTCTTATTAGAAAGAAAGGAGGGGAGAATGGATCTTGGGAAAGCAACCAGTAGTGTGGACCACACACACCAAACCTATGATCTGCAGGAATTATTACTTGGAGCAGCGGTTCTCGTACTTGAGTGTGTGTCAAAAATCCCCTGGGGCGCGGGGCCTGGGAAAACACACGTAGCTGGGCCCACTCCCAGAGTGTCTGACTCAGTAGGTCTGGGGTAGAGCCCAAGCATTTGTGTTTCTAACAAGCTCCCAGGTGATTCTAGGCTGCTGGTCTGACAGCATCTCCTGAGAACTGCTGAGGGCAAGGCAAAGTCTGTACTCTCATGGAAACATATCCATTGATTTTAAAGGGATAATAATGAGTAATGCTTAAGCTATGTTATCAGTTAGGACCCCAGTAGAAAACAGAGGAGGGCGCACTCAGATGGGAAATTGAGGAAACCTAACAAAGTGACTCTTTGTAAAAGTATGGGTAGGGGGTGGTACCCCCACCCCCTGTAGCAACATGGGGAGCTGTAACTGTACTTGAAGGGGACAAGGGTGAGAGCCTTACTAGAACTGAAGCAGGGAGCTACAGCAGCAGACCACCCACGGGAGGGGATAGCTCAGTGGCAGAGCACATGCTTTGCATGCAAGAGGTCCTGGGTTCAATCCCCAGTCCCTCCACTAAAAATTAATAATAATAATAATAATAATAATAATAA